TGTATTTATTAGGAGCCACTTTACACTGTAATTCCACACAGGCCAAAATCATGTGCACGTCCACCTGTAAGTGTGTGGGCTGCCGAAACTATGAGGAAAGCCCTTCGAAGAAGAGCTTTGAGCAGGACAGGCCAGACTCCAGCATCTACTACCTGATCAGGTACATGTGAGACCACTGTAATACTGTAATCATGTAAAAACAGCAAAATAATCAATAATTTTAACAGTTTTTTTGAATTTCATTTCTTAAAAATACAATTAAAATGAAAACACTAGGAACTGTAGGCTTGTCTTGTCAAAAATGAGCAGATTAGATGTACCGGTATATTCTTGTTACTGCAAAGCTTAATGTTCAGCAGTCATTACTCCAATATTCAGTGTTACATGATCCTTCAGAAATCATTCAAATATGCTGATTTGGTATTTTTTTCAGAATTCTTTGATGTATAGAAAGTTCATTGAACAGCATTTATTTGAAATAAGTTTTTGTAACATTATAAATGTCTTTACTGTCCCTTTTGATCAGTTTAATGCTTCCTTGTTGAATAAAAGTATTTCTTTCTTTCTTTCTTTCTTTCTTTTTTCTGAAGGATCATGTGACACTGAAGACTGGAGTAATGATGCTGAAAATTCAGCTTTACTATCACATAAATAAATTACATTTTAAAATACATTTAAACAGAAAACAGTTAATTTAAAAAAAAAAATAATATTTGTAATACTACTGTATTACCGTTTTTACTGATATATATATATATATATATTAAATCCCATTTTTTCCTTTTTTTTTTTTTTTAGCTTCATCAGGTGCTTTGCCCTACTCAGATTGTAGAACAGGAAGAGGAGGGACAGACCAAAGGACATAGACGGTGCGAGTGTCATTACTGTAAAACCTCATAGCTCTCATGTTCATTCTAGACAACTGAACTGCAATTTTTGTAAAACAGTTTAAATTATGGCATAACTATTCTTTGTTTATTAGTGTGAAGTGGGAAAAATCAAAGCGACCTTGCAACTGCACAAAATCTCAGTGTCTGAAACTGTAAGTATTTTCATGCTTTTTTTTTTTTTAAAGCCTTTATTTTTATCAGATGTTACCTCTGAGCTCTATTAACAACTTTATTTGTTTTGGTCATGATGACGGATGCTTCTGTACAAAAATAACTGCTTTGTCCTGACCATGTAAAATCAGCTCTTACCAAACAATTTCTTTGGCAGTTATTGTGAATGTTTTACGAACGGAGATGTCTGCAACAACTGCAAATGCTTAAACTGCTACAATAATACTGAACATAACTTGGAGAGATTCCAGGCTATAAAGGTCAACCACATGACAGAAACCTCTTAAAATAAACCAACTTAAATGATCTCTTTGACTAGATGCCACTGATAACCCTATTATATTCCACACTTGTATTGCTCTTTAGGCCTGTCTGGACAGGAATCCAGGGGCTTTTCGGCCTAAGATTGGCAGTAGGAAACAGGGGAATGTGAAGGGATGTCACACAAAAGGCTGCAACTGCAAGCGTTCAGGTTGCCTGCAGAACTACTGCGAGTGTTATGAGGTAAGCTGACCTGATGTGTGATGTATTTTCAGTAATGTATTTATTAGGAGCCACTTTACACTGTAATTCCACACAGGCCAAAATCATGTGCACGTCCACCTGTAAGTGTGTGGGCTGCCGAAACTATGAGGAAAGCCCTTCGAAGAAGAGCTTTGAGCAGGACAGGCCAGACTCCAGCATCTACTACCTGATCAGGTACATGTGAGACCACTGTAATACTGTAATCATGTAAAAACAGCAAAATAATCAATAATTTTAACAGTTTTTTTGAATTTCATTTCTTAAAAATACAATTAAAATGAAAACACTAGGAACTGTAGGCTTGTCTTGTCAAAAATGAGCAGATTAGATGTACCGGTATATTCTTGTTACTGCAAAGCTTAATGTTCAGCAGTCATTACTCCAATATTCAGTGTTACATGATCCTTCAGAAATCATTCAAATATGCTGATTTGGTATTTTTTTCAGAATTCTTTGATGTATAGAAAGTTCATTGAACAGCATTTATTTGAAATAAGTTTTTGTAACATTATAAATGTCTTTACTGTCCCTTTTGATCAGTTTAATGCTTCCTTGTTGAATAAAAGTCTTTCTTTCTTTCTTTCTTTCTTTCTTTTTTCTGAAGGATCATGTGACACTGAAGACTGGAGTAATGATGCTGAAAATTCAGCTTTACTATCACATAAATAAATTACATTTTAAAATACATTTAAACAGAAAACAGTTAATTTAAAAATTGTAATAATATTTGTAATACTACTGTATTACCGTTTTTACTGATATATATATATATATATATATATATATATATATATATACATATAACAAAAATACAGTAATATATAGATACACCTCACTTCCGCTATATTTTATACACCTCACTTCCGCTATATTGTGTGACAATGTGGTCTTTTAGTAGGCGTTTCCCTCCCACCTCCACTTCCTCTGCACTGGCTGTGTGACACCGCAAGCTCATATGCAATTAGAGTCACTCACAGCAATAAGTGGAACTGTCAGCGATGTCATATCGATTATATTTTAAGAGTAAAAATAAGGACCCAAGACTTTCAAGGTTGGTCCTTAGTAGATCATGTGAATCAAGAGGCCTTCAGTGTCACTTTCAAGATTGATTGGACATGGATTTCTGTGAACTGTTAGCCCACATTTATAGCATCACTGTAAACTAGCCGAACGAGATTGAGGTTACAGGCTACTGCTTGTGTCGTGCTTTGTTGGTTGTTTTTCAAATGGTAGTAAATGAGAGCAGTAGGGTTTTGTTATTCCTTTGGTCACTGAGGGTGTCTCTGTTGATAGGAGTCCTCTGGCGTGCATCACGCCCGATGTAGTGGAAGCCACATGCGGCTGTCTCCTCGCCCAGGCTGAAGAGGCTGAGAAGGAAAGGTACACTTCGGCTCACGCTGAGAGAATGATTTTGGAGGAGTTTGGCTAGTGCTTGACGCAGATTGTCCGATCAATATTCAAATCCACCAGCTTGCAATTAAATGAGTAGCTGGGGAACAAATGCTCAGTGTTACAATCAATCCAGATGTGCTTTGGTTACCAACAAGTGTTTGTTTTCATTTACTTTAACGTTAGGAGATGCTTTAAAAATTCACATCCTCACGACTTTAATAGCACATTTTATTTATGATTATTTAAACATATATATATTTTTACTATTATTTATTTATTGTTTGTTTGTTCCTTTATTTTATTTTCATTCCCACCACTTCACATCTGCAGGATTTTAATGGAACATTTTATTTATCTAAAAATTATTTAAATTATTTTTGTTATTTAAATTATTCCAACCACGTTTTTATTGACAGTATGTTGATATTATTGTATAGTATATTGTATTTATAGCCAAAAAGCAAAATCTTTGACAAAACCTTGCTTTTAAACAATTTGAACAGGAGCAATGTTTACATAGTTTTTTCTACATTACCTGTTGCTTGTTCCGGAATTTTTTTATCCTGTTTGGAAACTTGATCTCGGTTCAAGCATTACAAATTTAGCGTGGCATTTTCATTTTGTCATCTGTGGTTGTTTTTCTGTAATGGAGCTGTCACTGTGTTTATGCATCAGTGACTTTTTTCTGTGTCAGTATTTATTTATTTATTTAAATATAAATGGTATGTTACTTAAAAATGATTAAAATATTTATTATTATATATTTTTTACATTTATTTATTTATTTCCATTCATTCCCACCACTTCACACCTGAATGATTTGAAATGAACATTTTATTCATATTTATATATATTTAGTAACACTTTACAATAAGGTTCCATTAATTAATGTTAACATGAACAAACAATGAACAATACATTTATTACAGTATTTATTAATCTTTGTTGATGGAAATACAGTTGTTCATTGTTAGTTCATGTTGATTCACAGTGCATTAACGTTAACTAACACAACTTTTGATTTTAATAATGCATTAGTAAATGTTGAAATTAACATTAATAAGATTAATAAATGCTGTAGAAGTATTGTTCATGCTTAGTTCATGTTAACTAAAGTAGTTAACCTTATTGTAAAGTGTTACCATATATTTTAATATAAATGTTACTTAAATATTGTTTTAATTTTTACTATCATTTATATTACCACATTACCCGTTGCTTGTCCTGAATGTTTTTACTGTTCGGAAACTTGATCTCGGTTCTTGTGTCAGGGAATTTCGGTCAGGTTCTCAGTGCAGTCATTTCTATGCATTAGAAATTTAGTGTGGCATTTTCATTTTGTCATTTGTGGATGTTTTTCTGTATGCATGCATCAGTGACTTTTTTTCTGATCCAGTGATGCATATAAATCGATTGACATCCTGCTCTTTTTTTTTTTTTTAAATCGTTCCATTTCTTACATTTTTATCTTAACATCTACCAAATCCTACTTTAGTTAATAAAAGGGTTAATTTGACATCACCTTTTATGCAAGCAACTCGGTTCAAGCCATTTTGGATTCAAGGTTGAGACACTTACGAAAAACATGAGTGTTTTACTCATGTCGAATTTTAGAGACACGGCTGTAGGGTAAACCTCACCGTATTGATTTTCATTATGGCAGATGCTCTTGACGTCAGGCTTTTGTGCAGGTTAATGTAGAGAGCGTTCCCATGATAGGACAAGGTGCAAGCAAGTGATGTCCCTCGCAGGGGGTTGTATCGAACCTTGGGTCCTGTTGTTAAAGAAGGACATAAATAGAGGAATAGAGAACTGGACCGTTCAGATTTGTTTAGTTCTTCTGATCAAAAACGATTCTTGATCCGACAAAAATGGTAAATATGCATATACGTATTTTTATGTGCATACATTAGCATAGAATATAATGATTTTTCATCTGTTTTCTCTACATAGATATCAAGAATGTGGATTTTATGGACGTGCACAGTGATATTTTTACTGATGAGGGAGTATCATTGCATTCAGAAGGTACTTTTTTAAAAACATGTAATACCTTTATTTATTACAATTATGTTTTGCTGTTTCTTTTACTTATTTACCGTTCATGTCTTTTAATAGACCACATTATCCAAGAACTGGGGACCACAGTCAATGCTTTACCTAAAGGGAAAACGTGAGTGTTGTCTGGTCTCCCTCATACTCTTCAAGTAATCAAATCGATTGCCTGTTAATGCCGATCTTGAGTGTTTGTTTTAGCTGATAATATTACGTTTGAAACTGTGATATGAATATAAGTGCCCAGATTTTGATTTCTTGCAGTATTCGTATTGAATTTCCTTTTGTTCCCCCCAGATGGAAGACGATTTGTTCCTGACATTGATGACATTATTTCAAGTTCAGGGTTGAAAAGCTGGTCCGCAGTTCTCAAAGGTGTGGATCGATAATTCCTTAACGTGTGAAATGGTTGCAGATACTACAGGTGAATGAAGTTCTTGAGTTGCTTTACCTTTCATAATCCTGACTGGTGTGTTTTCTTCAAGGGTTTCAGAAACTGAAGTCGCTGAATGCCAGAAAACAATCAGGATTGTTCAAAACGCAGAACTTTGTTATCCGTTAACTGAAGTGAAAAGTTTACACAGCTAACAGGGAACATTCTCAGAAGGTTCTTGCAAAGTTCTCTCAAAAGTTATGAACAGACATTCTTCCAGTAGCATTAATAGGACATTTGTTCAAAGTCATCTGGTCTTTAATAATGTTATCAAAACATTTGCAAAAAATTTTGTTTATACATTGTTCATGAAACAATTCTCTGAAACATTTTAGTTGGACATTAGTCTGTTTTTTTAAACATGACTACTAACTACACTCTTAAAAATAAAGGTGCTTCACGATGCCATAGAAGAACCTTTTTGTCTAAATGGTTCTATAAAGAACCTTTAACATCTGAAGAACCTTTCTGTTTCATAAAAGGTTCTTTGTGGCGAAAGAAGGTTCTTCAGATTATAAAAAGGCAAGAAAGAGATGGTTCTTTAAAGAACCTTTGACTGAATGGGTCTTTGTGGAACCAAAAATGGTTCTTCTATGGCATCGCTGTGAAGAACCTTTTAAAGCACCTTTATTTTTAAGAGTGTACTTGTTGCAGAACATTCAAAAATAACATTCCCATAATGTTTGCAAAATTATAACATTAACATGTACATATAGAACGTTCTTTTAATGCTTCTCTGATGTCAACTTATCCAAGAAAAAAACGTTTTTTAAAACATTTAGACATTATGAGAACATTTATAAATAATGTTTTCATAACTTAATGGGAATGTCAGCAAAACTTAGAATGTATTTTTGTTAGCTGGGTCTGTACAGTGTGCCATATTTTGTAAGGTTTAAGATTCAGAATAAATCTATGTCTGCTGTTTGGTCTGCTGTTAAGTTGTATTGTTCTGACATTAAACTGTCTAGCTTTATAATCTTTAGGAATTCACAATTAAGATGGAATATCCCAATGTTCTAACAGTGCTGTCAGTCATGTTTTATAAATACAAGTACTTTGGTTTGATGTGTTAACAGATAACATTCACAGTGACGCTGAATTATATCCTAAATTGTCATATATGGTTATTTTATGCATCCACATTTCAGTTGCTTTACACTTTTAGTCAAACTTTTCTCAATAAACTGAGGTACTTCAGATGACCTTAAATGCCTCCGACTCACAGCCAAAGTCCAACAGCTGCAAAAAGAGAGATCAGGTCATGTGAGCCAGACGTGTCGCCTGATCAGAGAGCAATGGTTCCTTTCACTGCCCTCATGTGCTTCAGTGTGTTCAATGAAAACACTGGGAGATATTCTCTCACAATATGTGTCTGTTTAACAGTGAAAATTAATTTATAAGCTCTGCAAAGTAAGTTCATATTTCTGTCTGTCACCATGCCTTTAGCCAGTTTTACTTTCTCAGGGTCACATAACTTTGCAGCAAACCATTCTGAATATGTTTGTGTTGTAATGTGAGCAAGTATTTGTATGAAAGGACTGTGAGATATATGCTCTGGTAAAGCTCAGGCACTTTAACATGATCAATTATTGCTTGATTGTTTACACAGTGGCAGGGAAATTAACTTACAGGATGCAAATAAGCGGTTATGATCACAAACTAATGCATGAAAACATCACAAAATTCATCAAATCCATTACTAATATTTGCTCATGTTTGTACTGTTTTCCCACTAAATATGATGTCACTTCCTAGATGATAATGTTTTAATTAAATTAAAGGATTAAAGGATTCGATCAAAATTCACACCTGCAGTTAGGTTTGATTAAAAACAATGTTTTCATCTTTAAACGTTTGAGTATAATATTTATCCAATATGCTAAACACACTACTGTACAAAAGTTTGGCGTCTGTAAGATTTTTTTTAAAATCTTATGCTCACCAAGGCTACATTTATTTGATCAAAAATACAGTAAAAATAGTAATACAGTGAAATAGTTTTGCAATTTAAAATGCCAATTTGATGCAAAAAAAAATTCCCTATTATTATCAATGGTGAAAACATTTATGCTGATATTATTTTTTCAGGATTCAGAAGTTTATTTTTCTTGCTCAATAAAAGCATTAATTTCTTTCAAAACCGGTAATGATGGCGACATTGCTTATATATCACCAGCTCCATCTTCTGGTACATTACTGGTGAAGCAGAAGGAACTCTGAACCAGTGGTTGTGGGTTACCAAGGTTAACGGTTCCTTGTTGAACAAGTTCAAGTTCAACTTACACTTTCAACAGTACATATATTTCAAGTCTGCGCACATTTTGAAATACAGGCTTGGAAAGCATTCATTTAACACTTACCCACTAAAATATAAGAAAATAACAAACAAAACGTGAAAAATTCAAAGAAAATATGTAGAAAATAAATCAAGGTAAATCAAGAGGCACTCAAAGAATAGTAGAAATGTATGAACAGACTGCATTTTGTGCCTTCTGATTTTTGTGTTTGGGTGCTTCCGTTTACAATTTTAAGACGTCTTGCAGGTTGCAGCCATCCTCTGACTGCAGGCACAAAAACTCTCCATCTTGCTGCGTCTGCACGCAAACCGAGTCGGATAGCCAATTAAACAGAGCGAGCTTATCACACGCGCAGCGGATTGGCAAACAAGCACATTTCTTTTTATTTTTTCCTCTCCCTGACCTTAAACAGGACTTGGCAGGTGGACAAGAAATTGCAGCTCTCGCTTTCCCTGTAGGGCGCATTTCGAGACCACTCGAGCCGCGCGCGACTGGAGCATTTACTTCAGCGTTTGCATATATCCAACAACAGGACGATGTCAGGCTTGAATCGCTCGTTCAACCTGCTGAGGAGTGTGATGAGACACCAAATCACACCTAAAGCTAATATTTCAGCCAAACCAGCCAAGCACGTGCTGTCCGCTGGGGTGAGTATGAGTTGATTTTCACGCGACTACATGCTTGCGCACTTTGACCAGACTGACGGAGTGCGCACTGCGCAACAGTGTGACGGCCTGTGAAAAAATATGTTTACATGTAATACCTGAATAGGCGAAGCTATGCTAGTATGACATGAATACCTGTATATAAATAATATCTGACCCGGTATAATTAAAAGTGAGACGGGACAAATTCGATAACGCCATTGATCGTATTTGTGCGCTCACGTACAGTGTGGAAATGGCGCGTGGGTGGGTTTTCTGTCATAATATTTTCGTACCCTGTAAAATTAAGAAAATAATTTTAGAGTCTTTAGTTATTGGGTTTGAAATGCTTCGTGGCCTTATACGTTTCTGGAAAACAGCCAATTTTATGACCTTCTCGGACAAATAAAGTCGTCCCGTTTAGGATGGTCGCTGTGTTTCATTCGATGGCCATCCAGCTCAAATGTTTTAAATCCTTGTTTATTGCTGGTCTATGCTGGCTTACTAGCCTGGACCAGCTAAAAACCAACTTAGACCAGCTAATCCAGCTACTATGTCCCAAAACACAAATACTTCAGATGTATTTTATTTTCCATCTGTGGTAAGTTAGTTGTGCACTGCTACGTTTTGCCCAAATAAACATCGCATAATAGTCTCTAAGGGAAAAGGCACCAAAAATATAGCCAGCTTGAGTTTAATGCATGGGAAAATAGCTTGGCTAGTTTATTACTAAAAAAAAAAAGTCTAGACTAATATAGTTCAGCATCTGATGACCGTCTCTGCGTTCTCAATGCAGGAGCAAATCTTTGTAATGATGACCATGTTCGTGACCATCCTGGGCCCCTCTGGATGGATCCTGGCAAATTTGGAGGAGTACAAGAAACGTCCCGGCGCAGCTGAATAAGAACCATCTGCCTCTGAGCTTTCCTTCTTGAGAAGACTATTTAACCTGTTAAGAATGTTTTAATAAATTAATGTCCTTGAACACTTCAACTGGTGGCACTGGTCTGTATCGAATAAAATACTGTATAATTTTAAGTTGCATTCTGCATACAACACATGTGCTTTAGTTGCTGTTAAATGATCACAAGTCAACATAACTGAACTTAAAACTGAAACTAAGATTTGCAAAATTGAGGAGCTAAACTATTGCAATAAGCACACTAATTCACACGCACTTGTTATGGTGTCCAATTTGCAATAAGCAGGACATATTTTTTTCCCGTAGATTAACCATTTAAATTCTGAGGATTTTTTTAAATCTACAGACATATAAACAAATAATGTATGCTTGATGGGTAAACCAGTTAAATACATACTGAATGTTATACTGAACAAATCTGGAAACGAATCCTGCAATCGACCCTTTTCACAGACTGTGATGACACGTTTCCAGTTACTAACATCGAAAATCAAGTTTTTTATATTTTCATTATTAACAACAACAACAACAAAAAGTACATTTATAACATTTTGTGTTGTGTAACCTTAAATTACAGAATTAAATTAAATTACAGCAAATTGGTTAATGCCGCTGGGCGAGTGTTTCTAACACTCTCTCTTCTGTCCAATCTCTCAATACTTTTGCCTCTTTTGTGGTCATAGAAATGCTATCGTGGATTTTTTCTTTGCAACTGAAGCAAATAGGAACACAAATCCGTTGTTCTTGATCACCACTATAGAAGTTAACCAACTACGATGATTTCAGCTTCTGAGGCCCAGAAACGTGAAAAGGATCCATTATTAAAAGATGACCTTAAAGTTACTGTAGAGTGCAGATGAATTATGCGGATTCAGTATTTGAAATGGTTTTATAGAAACTGGCATTGTACCTTGCTTCTGACACGTTGCTAGTATACAAAATGAATCAAAATGTGCAAAGCTGCAAAAAATATCTGCTTAAACCAAGATCAGATATTGTAAATAACAAGTCACAAAACTAACATTTTTTTAAATACAAGGCTGAAGGAAAACTTATTCTCTATTATGATTTTGCACTCTGTTTTTTACAGCACTGCTCCGTTGTTTCAGTGCAGGATGTGGGCAGTGTAGGAGTGGGAGTAACTGGATTTCAAATTAGATTTTGGAGTTCACTGAGGTCACACGTTCCCAAATGTAAAGAAGCAAACTACTGTATTTTCAGGGTTTCTCTTTAACAGTGCTGTTCTCAACCGTCAATACAGATCTATAATGAACAGACCTATTGATGACAAATGCGTGTGATTGTGGTTCAGATGAGTTGAGAAAAAAAAAAAACCTTTCAACAATCAGACTCAAAATGCTAAAGGGATAGTTCAACCAAAAAGTAAGATCTGTCATCATTTACTCACCCTCCCTAACACTCTCTCTTCTGTCCAATCTCTCAATACTTTTGCCTCTTTTGTGGTCATAGAAATGCTATCGTGGATTTTTTCTTTGCAACTGAAGCAAATAGGAACACAGATCCGCTGTTTTTGATCACCACTATAGAAGTTAACCAACTACGATGATTTCAGCTTCTGAGGCCCAGAAACGTGAAAAGGATCCATTATTAAAAGATGACCTTAAAGTTACTGTAGAGTGCAGATGAATTATGCGGATTCAGTATTTGAAATGGTTTTATAGAAACTGGCATTGTACCTTGCTTCTGACACGTTGCTAGTATACAAAATGAATCAAAATGTGCAAAGCTGCAAAAAATATCTGCTTAAACCAAGATCAGATATTGTAAATAAAAAGTCACAAAACTAACATTTTTTTAAATACAAGGCTGAAGGAAAACTTATTCTCTATTATGATTTTGCACTCTGTTTTTTACAGCACTGCTCCGTTGTTTCAGTGCAGGATGTGGGCAGTGTAGGAGTGGGAGTAACTGGATTTCAAATTAGATTTTGGAGTTCACTGAGGTCACACGTTCCCAAATGTAAAGAAGCAAACTACTGTATTTTCAGGGTTTCTCTTTAACAGTGCTGTTCTCAACCGTCAACAGATCTATAATGAACAGACCTATTGATGACAAATGCGTGTGATTGTGGTTCAGATGAGTTGAGAAAAAAAAAAAACCTTTCAACAATCAGACTCAAAATGCTAAAGGGATAGTTCAACCAAAAAGTAAGATCTGTCATCATTTACTCACCCTCATGTTGTTCCGAACCTGTGTGATTTTCTTCTGCGGAACACAAAAGAAGATATTTTAAGGAACATTTTTAGCCCACGGCATAGAATTATTTTGAGGGGGTGAACTTTCCCTTTACATTTTGTATTGCATATAAAAACCAAAAGAATGATTGTGAAAACAAGTTGCTTTAATGACATAATGAAGATACACCTCACATAAAGTATTTTTTTATTTAATGTTGTCTATCCATAATGCTGTATCTATTCATATATTAATAAATTAATAATACATTTGCTATATATTAAATGTTAAAAAAAAAATAATAATAATAATACATATATATATATATATATAGAGAGAGAGAGAGAGAGAGAGAGAGAGAAACACCTCGTCAATGCTTCCTTTGATCAGTCCGACAGACAGAGCCTTCATCACCAACAGCTCCACCTGAGGGAAAGGATAAGGATAAGACCATCTCCCAGACACAGATTAAGTCTGGTCCTGGATTAAATACACTTCTATGTTTACTAAAAACACTTCATTATTACTAGCTTTAACCTGTGTCTACTTGAAGAGTGAACATCTTAGCCAATAAGAGTAAGATATACCTCTAAACATGAGAAAACTAATTTAAGAAAACCATAAAAAAGAAAGCAAAAAAATCTTTGCGTTTAATTTATTTAATGCTGTCTATTCATATATAAATAAAAGTTATTTTTAAAACTACAATATAAATATAATTTATTAGTAAACTATTTAATGCTGTTTCTATTCATATATTAATAAACTGATAATAAATTTGTTATATATTAAATGTTTTTTTTTTTTACAATTTTTTTCTAATTCAAAAGAGAAAAAACAAACCTCATTCACTTGGATTTTTGCACTCTGTGCAATTTCCTGGAACGTCAGCTGCCTGTGATTGGCTGGCCGTGTGAAAGTCATCTATGAAGACAATCAATCATTAACTGTTTTAGCTTTGTTACTCAATAATGACTCTTCCTGTGCAGCTTAATTAGTAAATAATGATGTACCTTAACAAAATTACAATATATACATTTGGAGTCAATTACCAGCTTATTACATTTTTAATAAATAGCCTTTATACCTCCATGACACAGAGTAACTGGATCTTCTGCATGAGTTTGGCCTCTTGAGCTGCAAGATCAGGCTTTGAGGAGAGAAAAACAAAAATTCATGCAGGTTCACTCAGCAGCAATATTGATGAATTTGAAAAACACTTGCACTCTGTGCAAAAATGGTGTTTCATGTACATTTAATAATAATAATAATAATATTAATTCATTTGCTCACCTGTTGACCCCATGCGGTCTTCAGGGCTTGGAATTTCTCCACGTTGCCTGCATTAAATGCATAGAGTGTATCTATGAGCCACTGTTTATCTGTGTTCCTCAGTGACTCAAGGACCGGGTGCATCAGCTGTAGACATCACAATAATGTTGTTTGTGCACACAAATCTATCAGGACAAGCAGTTGCCAATGAAGTAGACATATAGCATAAAAATTAACTTAAAATTTAAAATAAAAACTGAAAATATAAAAAATGATAGCAAATTCAAAACATTAACATATACAATTTCAGTAAATAAATAACACGGGTACAACGACAGACACTTACCAGTTCTCCAAAGTTGTACACTCCCTCTCCGAGCAGGCCGGCCAGGCCTAATGTGAAAGCTCTTTCTTGCTGCTCTGCTTCTGTTGTGGGATAAAGTGAGCATTAAACCGCTGCATCAGCTTTTTTCATATTTTCACCTGAAATTATGCATGCATGATTTCTGTAGGGCCAACACTAGAGGACGCTGTTTCCCCAAGTATCTTGTCAAATGTAAACATCATACAGCAGTCAGAATATTTACCAGGCAAGTCTTTTGCTTCCACACATCCCAAGTACCGCAGGGCATCCTTGTAGTAGAAAGCGTGGTTCCCAACGATGCGGTAATATTTGCTCGACAGATCGTAAAATCGCCCGTGCACCGATGTCACACCCGGGAGATTGTTCAGTATCTCTTCCACTTCCTCTATTAATTTCTGCAAATATATTATACATGAATAACAGTCTCAAATAAAAGTGGTGTGGTCACATTAGCAAAATTTCAGCGACATTTCGTATTTCGACAAATTCCAGATCATGTAGAATCCTATTGAAATGACTGGATTTCATTCATAAAAATTCGCTATGCAATGGTAAATGTGACTGCAGCTTAAGAACAGAAAAGTATGCAAATAAATGACCTTTGTCGCTGGGAGGTCATTGATGTCGAGCTTGAGGCTGCCAATTGTTGTTTTGCAGAGGATGACGGCCTCTTCACTGATTTTGACCTGATTGAGTAAAATGACAAACAATGATTTCAACACCGTCACTCACGTTGTAAATTCAAACACAGGAGAACAACTCGCTACCTTCTCCTTTGTTTTCTCAAGAAAAGTGATGGTTGTAATTGGCTCTGTTGAAAACAAGAGATGTTATTAATATTACAACATAAAGTAGTATTTTTTGGTTTACTCTCTACAGCCTTTTTGATGGGAATCACCGAACACTAATGGGAAACACCTGTACCTGGCATTTGTCTTGCAACATGAAGGATGATTTCTACTAAGGACAATGGGTTGATTCTGTCAATAATAAAAAAAAAAAGAATTTGTTTCCATTAAATTGCAATTAATAGTTTTCCAGAAGCACAAGAGCATCACAATAGCCACATACACACTGCAGCTAACTAGTTGCTTATTACGCATTTTAATGCATTTCAGAGTTGTCTCTTTTCTGTATGAACGGTGCGAGAAAGTACAGGGAACATTTTGACTCAGTGTTGCCAGATCTTGCTAGGAAAAAACCCCCCAGCAAATAAGAACAAGCCCACTTTAATACAAGCCAGACAAACCAAAATATCGCAACCTGCACCTGCCAACTTTAATAACTCCATAACCTGGATTGCTTTATAAGGCTAAGATCAAAGACGCTTAATAAACATCACTTATAATAAGTGGAGATGACAACACTTCAGAAGTGCGCTTCTTACAAACGAGTCTCAGGTCAAAATATTACTTCGGTCAAAAATAGCAGATGCCAAACGTGGGAGACGCCAGAACGTTGCTATGGTTACCATGGTGTCAATCTTAGCAATTACACACAAAACCATTATTTAGAGGATTCACTCACATATTTAAATGTGGTTGTCACTCCTGAAACTTTACAGTGTGAACATGGTCAATGAACTGAGGTTCTAAAATGACCGACTGAATTATTATTATTACGTTATTAGACACATGGTAAATCTAATCAGAATCGCCTCTTACCTGTGTTCGAAATCACTGAGGAAGTTTTCATAGAGCTGTGGAAAGCAAATAAAAACTTTTAAAAGGTTTCACAACACATTTCTAAAGTGTGCAAATGCTGCTGAATCCTGATCTGATACTGTACCTGAATGAGAGTGTCCCCTTTGGAGAAATAGGGGTCCAGCACAAAGACGGTCAACTTCAGAGTCAACTGATGCCACAATCTGTCAAAAGAGAAAGAAATATTTACATGTAAATGAATCTGTTTATCTGTCTATCAACCCATTTATATATATAAACCTACCTATTTATCTATCTAAACATATATCTACCTATCTATGAATAAACTGATGGGCTGATATTTTAAGTCAAGCAGTTCAGTCAGGTACTGATTTGACAGATTTACAACGTGTAAATGAATAAGGCATGATTTAAAGCAGTATATTACATTAAAAATTTTTTTACTACATAACTTTGTAAACCCTCAATACATCTGATCTCAGATGAAACACCTGAAAACAACAACACCAGTACAGACTAGACATCTCACTTCAGCAATGACTTGCTAGCCACATAAAAACGCCAGAGCTCATTTTACAATAACTGCAACAACAAATATAAAACCAACACGCAAATAAAGGGCCAACACTGTCTTTAAACACATTCCAAGTGGACTAGGTAGATCATATGCATTTGTATAACTAATATAAGTCGCCTTTAGCTTAGCATGCTAAATGACTCAGCTAGCCCACACTGAGCACACATCATTCATACTTTCTGTTGTACAGATCCTCCAGTGAGTGCCACTCCGAGGCCATCTCAGGCGTCGGGCTCTTGCTCTGCTGTTGTTTGAGGTATCCGATGACATCTTTCATCCTGAATGTAGATGTTTGAGTGTTTGAGGAAGAAAAATGAAGCCCTCGCTACTGTCACGAATCAATCTACACCAATAAACTGAATGGACGCCGAGCAGAACAGCGCGCTACCGCCACATAGAGGTGTGGAGGCAGGGTTGCCAAGTTCCAGAAATATACCAACCCGAAGCTGACTCAAAAGTTGAGTCAAAACCCGCCCAAATGGAACATATCCTCTCTGATATTTTCAGGTCTCAGTCAAGCCCATCACACACACACACACACACACACACATGTCTGGTTTGCTATCCTTGTGGGGACTCTCCATAGGCATAATGGTTTTTCTACTGTATAGTCACGAACCCGGGAAGTAACTGTTGTAGTCCATACCAGCCGTTTTTGTAGGCATTAAACTGCCAGAATGTTAAAAGACGATATCTCTGTTTGCATTGAACTTTCAGCTTCGTAACTTTGCAGATATTGTTTATGCTCAAACAGCAACATTACACACTAACATTAAAAAAGTGAAATCGCAATCAACCACCCCTTTAACAAAAGGTAGGTGTATAAAACATCTCAAATGAGAGACAATGACAAATTCAGCTCTTTTATTATCATCTCACAATAAATTTCTTTAAACATAATGTGATATAAATGATTCAACATTCCCTTCAGTCATTCACACATAACTACACGGGCCACCAACAACAATATACAGTAATTCATCCTTTTACCACACAGAACAAAAGAAAAGTTGATCACAGGAGGCTTTATATGCTCCTGGGTAAAACAAAAAAAATGCTGAACTGTCGTTCCTCATAAATTATCACATCTCATAAACTAGATATTTATTGTAACTTAAAAATCTCAGCTCATCCTAAAACCAAATGAATGAATAAATAAATATCAAGGCTCCGTCACTGTCATCACCCAGTGCCACATTTGTTTTCTTCTCAGACCACGTTCTAAATGAAAAATAAAATCTGTGATGTATAACTTGACATGAATCCTGCTATATGAATAAACTAGCACTGTGCAACCAAGCCTTGTTTTCATTGTCATTGTACAGAAAAGACAGGCCAATACAATAAACCTGAATTACGAAATAACAATCACCAAGTGTTTTCCTTTGGAATAAAAACAAAGCATTTAAATCTTCGAGTGTCAAACGATTCAATTCTTTTATATGACTCACCATAAGCTTCTACTTTTGATTAGAATTAAATAAACAATCCTATCCTTCCTGTTAAAAGACTCGAGACTCATTTCAGGAGAATTAGTTTGTGTCACTGTCGCTGTCAGAATTATTGGACTCTCCAAACTGTTGGCTGGCTAAATAATGAAGCTCTTGTGGCTCCAATGAAGTCATTTTACCATCAGCTCCGATTTTCATTGGCTGGATCAGCTGCTCCCTGAAAGAAAAGCATGTTAGTGGTTACTTACAGCTGACGTCATACTATTTTGAAAGCACAATGAGAGCATCGCTGCTTGTAAGCTTTGGGCTTCCTGAAGTCACTTTATTACCTGGAGAGTTTATCGAACATGTTGACCAGTTTCATGGCTTCGTATTCTTTCTGTTCTTCAGTCATTCCCTCCATAGGGTTAGGCTGCTCCTCCTCCACACGGCCGGTCACTGGATTGATGCTGTACAAGACAAAAAAAAAAAAAAAAAAAAAAAAAGTGGATCATCCAGGTAACCACACAGTATTAAAGGGGTCATTGTGTACTTGATAAACCTGGAAACTGATAGACAGAAAATAATTTATTATTTTATTACAAAATATTGTCTCTTCAGCTTTTGGCTAAATCTATATATACACTACTGATCAAAAGTGAGATTAAAAAAATTTTTTTATTTTATTTTATTCAGCAAGGACGCATTAAATTAATAAAAAATGACAGTACAGACATTTATAATGTTACAAAAAACTGGTTTCAAATAAATGCTGTTCTTTCAAACTTGCTATTCATCGAATAATCCTGAAACAAAATGTATCACAGTTTCCACAAAACATATGAACAACTGTTTTCAACATCAATAAATAATAAGAAATGCTTTTTGAACACCAAATCAGCATATTAGAATGATTTCTGAAGGATCATTTGACACTGAAGACTGGAGTAATGGCTGCTGAAATTTCAGCTTTGCGTCACAGGAATAAATTATATTTGAAAATAAATTAAATTGTAAGAATATTTCACAATATTACTGTATTACTGACTTTTGATAAAATAAATACAGCTTTGGTGAGCATAAGAGACTTTTTTTTATTTATTTTTTATTAAAAAAATCTAACCAATCCTAAACTTTTGAAAGTTTATGTAGGTTAATCACTTTTTTTTACTAAGATGATAATATGTGAGGGTGATTATCTTTGCAGTCACTACTAGAATACATCATTTATTCTTAATTTAAAATTGCATTAAATTCACATAAAATTGCATTTTCCAAACTATAGTAAAGAAATATATTACAGAAATGTACTGGTGTTCCTAAAACAATTTTGCACACACAGAATTTTTTTTTTTTACAATAATTTTAGTTTAAAATACACTTTTTTTTCAATGTGTGATCTCAATATTCCGGTGATTTTGTGTATTTTTAATGATAATGTAACGTACCACTCTCCTTGCACAGCACAAACAGGAACTCAGCCGCACAGTGCTTCACGTCTGTGTCTATGTGTGTCATTAGACGGACTAGCTTGTTCCGTAGAGCGTGCCCGACCTCAGGTCTGTTTTTGACATCTCGTAATGGTGGAAGCACCTGCGTAGACACACAAACATACACTTTCATTACCAAAAAGAAAACATCTCTCAAGTTCACAATCAAGTTTTTAACCAATCTCACCTTAATTCGTAAAAACTTCCTGGTCTCTCTGTGGATGCGAGCGCTTTCCGTTAGTAGATTTAACGAGGGTAGCAGTGTTTCTTTCAGCTTGTTTCCCTGGAAACACAACGTCAACAAGTTGAGATGGTGAGCAGTTAAATAGTTGTACACTGGAGCTCCAGCTGTGTCCTGGTGTAGAAATCCCTCAAAGCGTTCCCTTCACACCCAGCACAAAAACAATAACAACACAACCAGCACAAACAGGTGTAGAGCAGCTCCCAGAAAAGAAAGAACAAAAATAACTTCATCGCAGGTGTTTCACCTCAACCTAACCAGGTACAACACAGCAAAATTCCAGTCCAATTTTATTTGTATTCACAATACAAATTGTTTCAAAGCAGCTTTATAGAAAATCATGAAGTCAGTGTTTATAATATCTTGATATATTCATGCCTTATAGTCACATTTAGCAGATTACCCTGTTGAAAAAAACAGCATATGCTGGTTAGGTATGTTTTGACGCTGGGATGCTGGTTTAAGCTGGTCCTTTGCTGGTTTATGCTGGTCCTTTGCTGGTTTATGCTGGTCCTTTGCTGGTTTAAACTGGTCCTTTGCTGGTTTAAGCTGGTCCTTTGCTGGTTTAAGCTGGTACCAGCATAAACCAGCATCCCAGCGTCAAAACATACCTAACCAGCATATGCTGGTTTTTTCAACAGGGTAGAGCAATGATATATGAAATGACATAATGAAGCAGTTTAGATTTGTTATATAGTACATATCGTTTTACATGAGTGTACTGTATGTGGATAAAGTTGGACATAATTATATATTCAACTTTTATATATTACGTATTTATATGTATGTGTGTGTGTATATATATATATATATATAGCTTTCCATGAATGTACTGCATGTAGGTTTAAAGTTGGATGTACAGTAGTATATAATACTTAATAAAGTTTATATTTGCTATTAAGTATATATCGCTTTTAAATGAGTATACTATATGAATCTGGGTAAGGTCGGATGTATTTATAAAAGTTGTATAATCTGTAAATTAATTATAAATGAATGTAAACTAATTTCTATTTTGTAACTTTTTAAATTTTTTTGGTTGGAAAATAGATAAAAAAATAAAAAAATATGTAAATAACAACTCACAAAATGTGTATTTCTATATATGATTTGTATATTTACAAAGACAAACAAAAATGATGTTTAGTGTGATTGTGAAGTGTGATTTCGGACCAATGAGATTTCACTGTGGCCACCCACCACTGGAAGAAATGTGAACGTTCCAAGCAGCAACCTTTCTCTTGAAACCAACACGGAAGTGACTTAAACTGCAATTCATCGACTGGCCGCTAGAGACAGGCTCCAAAAGGGAGTCAATCCCATAGACGCCCCATGCTAAAATGCCCAACTTTACAGCAGAAAAATTTTTTACAGCCTGGTACAAAAAGTGGTTTAGGTCTATATAGCTAATTTGTCCTTCATGACAACTGTGAGTGGGGGTGAATTTTTTTATAACTCATCCGTTTATATTACCGTAAGCCTTAAAGTTATGTATAATTAAGGGTGTGGCCACTTGAGCGACAGGTGGATTGCACCTTCGAGCTAGGCGGGCGTGGTTTCAGCAACCAGCTCCACCCACAACCCGCCTCTTTGCCCATTTTTGATTATCCAGGAGTGACGCGCTGCCAAGATGGCGACAGCCGGCTCCGCCCACTTTGGGCTTCAAAAATGCTCTTCAGAAACCTACGGGAGACATCGGACACTACGTCCATGTTTTTATACAATCTATGGAACGTTTTATTGTGTTTTTTAACCTTTTTAAGGGATGTTTTGAAATATTAACAGTACACTTTTGCACAACAGAAGTATTGCGTTGCTCACCCGGTCGAGTCTTTTCTCCATAAACTCCACCAGCACCTTGACGGCGTCCATGTTGACGCCCATGTACTCGATAGAGCCCTGCTGGACTTTAGGCATCAGCAAGACGTCAAGACACGGAAGCGGCAGGTTCCCCAGAAGGTTCACCGTGTGGCTGTAAAACAAATTCACATCAAATTTGCTTTCCTTTTACAAATCAACTAATTAATTGGGACTGAGATCCCTGTGGATCTACTCTAATTTGTTACCAAACTCTACAAATCAGAGCAAGACACATGGTGAGAATCTGTGCCAGTGTGTCACTGTCTCAAACAACTTTACATGATTTGGTTGTGCACTTTAATGCATTATTGAGAAACTGTATCCTTGCCTTAATAAACCTCTGTGCATCTAGATCTTCTGCCTCTCTGTGTGTGTGTGTGTGTGTGTGTGTGTGTGTGTGTGTGTGTGTGTGTGTGTGAGTGAGTGTGTGTGTTTGTACCTGTGCATCTCCTCCGTGCGCTCTTCTCCCTCTGAGGTGCTCATGATGCAGTGTCTCAGTATAGCACCCAGGTGTCTGTAAGTGGCTGCTTCCTCCTGCAACACACACAGACACGCACACCCACACACACGCGCACACACACACACGCGCCACACACACACACACACACACACACACACACACACCAGCACAATGTCCCATGAAACCACATTAGATCTGCCTCACTAATTAAATACTGTTATTTACAATGAGAGAACAAATCTAATTTCTGCAGGTGTGTAATCCTTATTCAGCAAAATGTCAGAATGAAATTGACACGCTTTTGTGGGATTAGGAGAAAATTTGAAAATGAAAAATAACTTATCTTATCACAATATTAAGAAGCAGCCAACAAAATTACACATTTAATCTGCAGCAAGGAATGCACAATCCCCAAATATCAGTATTGGTTTATTTTCTAAATTTTTTTTTTTTTACATTATTTTATTTTATTTTTATTTATTTATTGCATCAGTCTTAATAGGCAGATAATGGAATCATATTTTTTCAAGTTTAAACATTATGATCTTTTTTATGCCAGATTTGAAAAGTATGAAGTATGCATCAGCATTTATTCATAAAATTGGCCATCATATTTGTTAGCATTGAACATGAATAATAAATGAAATATTTCTTGAGTACCAAGTCAGCAAATTAAAATGATTTCATTCTAATATGATGATTGAAGACTGGCTGCTAAAAAATCTGCTTAACCATTATATTATAGCTTTTTATATTATATTAATTATATTATATAACCATATATTTTAAAATATAATAAAATAGAAAACAGTTATTTTATAATAACTGAATGGTAATGTACAGGTATTTTGAATTTTATTTTATATTTATAATTTATAATATATTCAATTATAGTATTTTTACACTGTTGCATTATTTTCATGAGAATTAAGCACATCTTACTGGAATACAGTGTATTTTTGCAATTCTATTACAACACAATTGTTTCTTTTTACAATAACTTTTATTGTATTGTCATAAAATGCAAAAATTCCTAATTAAAAAAAGGAATTGTGGTCTTTAATGCAATATATATATATATATATATATATTCTTTACAGGTTTCATGAGATACACCCATTGAAATTGGGCCAAAATTATATTCCAGCATATAAACAGGGCATTAAAATTTAGGAAACAGCAGCACTGTCACTGTTTGCCCAAAAGATATTGTCTGATACAATTGAATGTGGTGGCACAGTCTCACCTCATCCACCTTACGGCTGTTGCAATCAAAGGTGACGTTAAAGAGGATCTTCAGGATCTCCATGGCTCGCTCCGTCTCCTGCCTCCCCAGCGGGGGCAGCTCTGAGCAGCCGTCAAAGCCTGCACGTGCCACCTCGTAACTGTCGGGCCAGCAGAGACCGAGCGTGGCATCCAGAGCCTCCGACAGCAGACTAACACCCCGCAGCTTACGTGCCAGCTGGGCTCTTATATCCACACGCAGGGCGGTGATCAGGAACGTGAGGCGCAGGTCGAAGAATCGCACGTCGTGGTTCCACTGCGGTTCACGGCACTGTTTCAGCCTCTCGGCCAATCCCACGATCAGCTGGAGCTCCGCTCCCGCCTCCTGAGCCGCCTCGCTGTTGAACACGATGTTACACAAGCACTTCAGGGCCTCCACGATCACTTCCAGGTCCGGGATCTCGGGCGTGACGCCCTCACCCTGACCAAGGCCAGCATGTCGGATCAGGATCTGCATGGCGTGGCGGGTGGCAAAGGGAGCCAGGCTCTTCTTGTCACGGGACAGGATGCGGATGGTTTCCAAGCAGGCCAGCTGACAGGACGGCTGGAGGTCTCTCTCCAGGAAGCCCAGCACTAACTCGCCCAGACGCTGAGAGACGAGAGAGAGATACGGTGAACAGCAGCAACCATCTACACCATCACTTGAGTCAGCGGTTCTCAAATGGCTTTGCTTTAAAATCTAGATTTTACAATGGACAGTATCAAATGTGTGCACCGTTTTTTGTTTTTACTGCTTAAAAAGTACTTTAAAAAAAGTAATTATTTTAAAATGTAAATTATATGCATGTGTGAGTCTGTGTGTGTGTAAAAATTATAATTACAAAAAATAAAAATATTACAAATTATGAAACATACATTACAATTTCAAAGTTTGGGTTAGTGATTTTTTTTTTTTTGAAAGAAGCCTCTTATACTCACCAAGGCTACATTTATTTGATCAAAAATACAGTAAAAACTGCAAAATGGTGAAATATTATTACAATTTAAAATAACTGTTGTCTATTTTAATATATTTTAAAATGTCATTTATTTCTGTGATGGCAGAGCTGAAATCATTCAAACCTTCAGAAATCACTTTCAGAAATCACTCTATTACCCTGAGTTAATGCTCAAGAAACATATCTTAGTATTATTAATGGAGTAAACAATTGTGCTGCTTAATGTTTTTGTGTAAACATTTTTTATTTTTTTTCAGAATTCTTTGACGAATAGAAAGTTCAAACGAACAGAAATTTAAAACAGAATTCTTTTATAACATTATAAATGTATTTACTGAGACTTTTGGTCAATTCAATGCTTCCTTGCTGAATAAAAAAGTATTTCTCTCTTTCTTTAAAATAAATAAATAAATAAATAAATAATAATAATAAAAAAAAATCAAAATCTTGGCTGACTACACATTTGAAGGGTGGTGTAGATATTTTAGATTTTAAATATAAAATACATAAATAGATATAAAAAGATATAGAAATCAATAAAAATTGCAAATATACAACATATTTAAAAATACATTACATATAAATACATCAATTATAAAAAGACATGAAAATTCTGTCTGTGATCCTATCAGAACAGACCAATTGAGAAACCCACCAATTGAGAAAAACTGTTAGAGGCTACGAGAGAGAATCTCTTGAGTGTTATTTTCCTGCGATTCAGTGGTTAAAAACTTTCAGCTTTGAATTCATGTTTTAAAAACACACTTGAGACCTGTTTATGCTAGAGTAGCAACATAACAACATTATGTCCATATTTCCCAAGGTAATTTAATGAATCACACTGGGTGTTGTAGAAATAGACACCTGGAGTTCCTGAGAGGGATCGTTCATTATTGTTAGAGTAGACAGCTCGCTATATACACGGGTGGAAGACTGACAACTCCTCAAATTCTCCCTGACTGTGTTTCACTGCCAAGACCTCCAACTGTCTCACTCTAGAATTTAGTTACCAGATTGGAGTCCAACTGTGACACGTCCTTACATAGCCCAGTCAAGCAATGAACAAAACGAGATCTGTTTGAAACCCATCTGTGACACCACACGGTGATAACCAAATATAGCAGCATTATGGGGTTACAGTCTTTACCAGGGGTTTCCAAAGTGGGGCCTGCAGTTTTATTGTGAAATGCTATGGAAACAATTATGTACAACAAATTATTTAGAATTTATACAAATATTTTCCAGACAATATATTAATAATTTCTTTCGCCTTTAGTATAAATGAAATGATAATTATGCATGTTTTAAATTAAAAGAGCAACAAAAATGGTCTTCCACCAAAAATAGCAGCATTATAGTGTTATAGTCTATACCAGGGGTTTTCAATTTGTGATTTGGATCAAATTTTGGAGAGAAAAAAAAGGTGAAAAAATCTGCTTACAAGCTAATCTGTTATTACTCATGCATAAAAATCACATGGTACATGCATAATACTGCGCTAACAGCAACAGTTACCAAAAGTGAGTTATCCAAAACTTCAGACGTGTATGCTAGATAATTTCTGTCTTTTGTGACTAGTCCCACAATGTTCTGGAATGTTCCAGAAAGCACTAGAATATTACAGAATGTTACAGAAACTTCGATGTTCCCATCTTTGCAAAAGCAAAAAACATGCAAAATTAGTACAAAAACGTATCTGTACTAAACCAATGTTTCTTAATTAATGATAGAAGTTCTAAAATTTACCTGACCACATATTTACCAAAATATTGACGCTACGTGAAAATAAATAGTACAATAATAGTTAGCACAACAGAATTATAGAAAAACAAAGTTTTGTTAGTTTTAAATTCAACTAATATTTTCCAGATAATATTTTAATGATTACTTTTGGCTTTGATAAAAATATTAAAATTACAAACACACAATAACATTTTAAGTTACTTACATAATTCGAAACTGCAAAGTGCAAAGTGTTAGCAGTTTGAAAACTCAAGAATAATAGCAACGTTAATAAGAATTCTTTCTAAATGCAGCACCGTTCTTATTTCGCTCTGTATAACCTGAACGAAAAAATATTTTTTACTAAGAACGAACCGAAATGAAAACATTTAGCTTTTAATCTGTGTATTTAACAGCCTGGGAGACCTTCCCAGGGCAGTACCTTGCCTCACCGACTAAAATTAGGGCGCCCACTACGGAGACGGCACCAGAGGTGAGGGGGCAGCACTAGAATATTACAGAATGTTACAGAAACTTCGATGTTCCCATCTTTGCAAAAGCAAAAAACATGCAAAATTAGTACAAAAACGTATCTGTACTAAACCAATGTTTCTTAATTAATGATAGAAGTTCTAAAATTTACCTGACCACATATTTACCAAAATATTGACGCTACGTGAAAATAAATAGTACAATAATAGTTAGCACAACAGAATTATAGAAAAACAAAGTTTTGTTAGTTTTAAATTCAACTAATATTTTCCAGATAATATTTTAATGATTACTTTTGGCTTTAGTACAAATGAAAAGCTTATTTAGTTGTTAAATAGCAACAAAAACTGTCTTTATAATATCACACTTACTATTTTTCTCAAATAATTTTTTTTATTTTTGCTCTTTTTGCTTTGAAAAAAAAAAATGTTTCTGAAAGTAATTTTCAGATGCAACGGGGGAAAAAACAGGATAAACAGTTTCTGAACCACATCGATTCCCATGAAACATTCTTCAACCATTTCAACACAGTGTCATCTTACAAAGCCCTAAAGTGTATTTCTTTAAATTTCTGTAATGTTCCAATCATTTGATACTATAAAAATACCCGATTCATCTAGCATTAGCCAACCAGGAATGAGAAGGCTTTGGGTTCTATGCTAATGCTACACTACATCTAAAACATCGAGCTACCCATATACCTCTTCTTGCAAATGTCCATCCTACTAAAAAGGCGAGCAAAAAATTTAAAAGAAGTAAAAAAATGCACATAAAGTCAAAGCAAGCACACATTGCTATAGTGCTATAAAATATGATTCATTAGATATCACCTGATATGAGCACACAAGCTTCTTATATTTATTGGAAATCAATTAAAGATATTTGGCAATTAAATATTAATGAATATTTATGAATACTGAAAGTAATGTATCTAAAATGGCTAGACAAAGCATTAAAAAGCTTGTTGTTCAAGGCTGAATTGCTGACTGCTTGCATTATAATGTCGAGCTAGGCTTACCTCTCTGTCTTCCTCCTCCCCAGAGTTAAATGAAAAACACTGTGATTTCTAAAAGAGAAAAAAAGAACATAATGTGAAATGCAAACACATACTGTACATTTATGCATAAATACAAAAATACTTTAAAGGAAAAGTCCACCCAAAAATGAAAATTTAGTGAAAATGTATTCAGCCTCAGGTCATCCAAGATGTAGATGAGTTTGTTTCTTAATCGGACCAGATTTGGAGAAATGTAGCATTACATCGCTTGCTCACCAATGGATTTTTTTTTTGCAGTTGAATGGGTGCCGTCAGAATGAGAGTCCAAACAAAAAGATCACAATAATCCACAAGTAATCCACACCACTCCAGTCCATCAATTAACATCTTGTGAAGCAAAAAGCTGCATGTTTGTAATCAAAAAATTCATCAAGGCAATTTAAACCATCACTTCAGATCAAAATACAAGTCTATAATCCATAACAATGCTTCCTCAAGTTAATAAATCCATGCCCTGTTGTTCTCTCACATCAAAATCCACCGACATATTTGTTAAGAACTGTTTTGGACTCGTTTTGCTTGTAAATGGCGCTTGATCTGTGCATATTTCTCTCCTGATTCAGGCGAGACGAGTTTTTCATTAGAGAAAGCAATATTATGGACAGAGAACTCGTATTTTAGATGGGAGCAACGGTTTGAAGTTAAAAACGTCTTAATGTTGGAACACGCAGCTTGTCGATTTACAAGTCATTAATTGATGGACTGGAGTGGTGTGGATTATAGTGATGTTTTTATCAGCCGTTTGGACTCTCATTCTGACGGCACCCATTCACTGCAGAGGATCCATTGGTGAGCAAGCGATGTAATGCTAAATTGATCCAAATGTGTTCTGATGAAGAAACAAACTAATCTACATCTTGGATGGCCTGAGGGTGAGTGCATTTTCAGAAAATGTTCGGTTTTGGGTTTTAAGTTGTAAATCTAAAAATGTAAATCAAAAACAAAACATCAAACCAAGTGGCATTTATTTTAATAAATAAATGGGGGGTCACCATATATTTAAACATACAGCATATGTGTAATGCAATGGAAAAAAACCGGACAAAATCTGCATAAGCAATAACAAAAAATGTTAAATTCTTGTACAGGCTGTAAATTCAATGATCATTTTAAGTTATAATCTCTTGATATGTATCAGCAACACATCAGTTCTGACCCAAAGCATGATTAGAACGCTTAAGCGCATGAACCTCTGTGATACCAGCTCACGAAGCATCAGGATCAGCCTAAGAAATCTATTTATGTTGCTTGAGTCCTAATCTAACCGACGTCACACAAAGTTCTTTAACTCATATGACTTTGCTTTTTTTTTCGGTTTCTGGGCGGATTTAAATTTACCCACTAACCTATTTCCCATGTGGATCATTTGTTAAGATTTCAAAGGCCTTTCTGGTTTTGTTTTTTAAACCTTTTGATAGGAGTTTAGGTATACGATCTAAAACGGAAGGCCCCAGTAGCAGTACATGAAGTGCCAAATATCAGTGCATAAAGTACTTATAATTATGACAACATATTGCTAAAAAGGAATGTTTTTAAGAGGAGTCGAGTAAATCTCTGCACTGCTGTTGACATCAGAGCATGTCAGCTTCGTCTCAAGCTATTTTACTGTTGTAAAGAATTATGTAATGGCTTTCTGAATGTCTGTCATTATAACATCATAATAATTGACAACATGAACACACCCATTGGTACTTATTCTATTCTATTCTTTATTTGAATATGATATTTCTCATTTTCTTTTATTTCAATATTCTATTTTTTTTTTGTATAATATTATGTAAAAACATAACGTTCCTGATAAACATCCACATCTATACGGGTAAATCACGTTCATTTTATATCCTTTACTAGTGTAATTAGCCTACTATGCATTTGCATAATTTGAAACATAATGCATTATTCTGATCATGGAAGCTCCTCATCGATGGTGTTTTTTCATGCAATATTTACAAAACAGAGGACTATTGTAACAACCAAATGTCACAGTGCAGTAAACTCTGAAATATGCAATATTTACAAAAATATATGTCTGTTATGGTATCAAAAAAGAAACACTTTCCATATACACCAAACAGTCACTTCCTCCCAGAATATTCACATCCATCATCGTATAACAGTCCTGATTTACATGAATCTGATATGTACCTCCTTATTAAAGGTCTGTAGAGCTGTCAGTGCGGCGTCCTGATCGCCTGTTTCCATCTTCTCTATGATGGCATTTAAGTCCATTTTCATCGCTGTTCCACCCTTCTGCTTTCAGGAAGAGCCAAAAATCATGTAAACACAATCAGCTTCAATCCTCCAGTTTTACCCGAAGCGATCCAGTAGCTCCTGGATGATGCGATTAAAGAAGCATTGGAATCATGGGATTTGTAGTGAAGACCATATGGTGAAGACTACCATAAAGTCCCATCTCAGGCCTGCGCATTGTTTGTTGTGATTGGCGCGGCTGTGCGAACGACGTCTTAACGATCCAATCATAGACTGCGAGAAGGAGTGACACTAGCCAATCATGTTGTAGGAGGCGGGACTTGTCGGTATACATGCTGTGGAGGATGATGAGAGTTACTCAAAAACAAAACCTATATTAATAGAAATCTGGGGTGTATGATAGAATGTGTATTTGATTCACTTTTTCATAATGGCATTTTAGAGTGTAATATAGCCTAAATGGGCTTTTTTCAAACCAAATTTCTCATATTTTTCAAACAAACAAACATACACACACACAAAAAATGTAAATGGAATGTTTTAACGTGTTAATAATGCCATTATATAATACCTCTTGTTATTGTAACTGAATAAAAAAAATGGTCCACAATGATTGATTTAACACACACACACACACACACATTGTGTTTAGTCAGGTTTAAGTCCCCACCAGGATATATAAACCAGTACACACACACACACACACACACACACACATATGAATAAATTAGACGGTATTTAATGAGACTTAAAGACAATAGCTGCTAAACATAGGTTACATATATGTTTGCTAGGTCACCTGAAAAATGCACTTCATGTGGCACATGACAATGAAAACAAACAAACAAACCAAAACAACAACAACAACCAAACAATATGTGTCATTCGCTAAAACAAAACATATTACAACAATTTCCTGATTTATTTGAATTCCAGCTGCATGTTTCCATTTATATTTAAAGCAGTTACATAAAAACGTTGTATTCTAAGGAAGTGTTTTGTTGAAACATTGGCAAATAAATCACAACAACTCATCTATTGTCTTTGTTCTCTTTGAGACTTGAATAGATGATCTAATGACAGTTCTGAGCATAAATTTAGATATCTTAAAAAGCACCTTAACCTGCTAAAGTCTGTTGGAACATTTTAACATTCGACACAAAAGAAAACTACATGGAATTGTGGAACAGGGTTACAATTACCATAAACTGAAAATGTATCCCCTGTGGATGGAGGTTCTTATGCAAATAAACGGATTTGATCAGTCTGTGATTCTTGTGCATTTTTCTAATTGATGACAGTGTTTCTACACTGATCTCTCGTGGTTGAAAACGGAACATCAGTGTAGATCTGTTGACCTGACTGTCACTGATAAGATTTCTGAAATACTTCGCACGAAATATGATTTTTATGTAACATTGCCAGTTAGTTGAGGAAACTAATAGAAAGGAATCAAGGTAATGTTTTCCATCAACATACCCCAATAAGTCTGGCTTAACTACAACAAACCACTTCCCCATTCCACATTAAAGTGTTGTTTAAACTGTGACAGCTGAACATTTTAGTGATTAAATGATTCATTCATATTTTGTGGTTTGAGGAAGTTCCCTCTAATTATCAAAGGTTTTTTTTTTTTTCATTTGTGTATGCCACTGATGTAACATCGACAGCATTATCTGTACTTTGAAATGTCTGTTAGAATATAATTTATACGTTAGAGAGGCAATGAAAACCTTGTTACTGATGTTGATTTCTTTTTCTTTAACACCACATTGTGGGAAAGGCTTCTATGTATATGCTTGTGTGCTTTCAGCAAAAGTGGTACAAAAATGCAAATTGAACCGACTTTATCTTCTACAAGAGGAAAATACTTTCACTTGCCTTTATTTATGAAATAATAAAGTCGTGAAACAGCTTTGGCTATTTTACATAAAATATAATATCTCATTTTATAAATATAAATATAACATTTTATAAAATATAATATCTCAGAAAAGCCAGACACCATGGGACTGCAGTTTTTGACATTTGTTGGTATGTTTCTGTGAACATATTTGAGTCGTCTAGAATAAATTATCCTTTAATAGTTATATAAAGTTAAATAACACTCTCAAATCTGTTGTTTTCTAGGACAGAAACAGAGGAAAAAAAATGTTCACACTTAGTCTTTCTCTCTTCACTGCCAATGTCAAGCTTATTCACTTATTTGCTTTATTTCTTTTAAACAGTAGTACCATAAAATCTCCAAATTGTTGCAAATTCACACCATTTACCGATGACTGCAGTGGCACTGCTGGACTGAGTTTGTCTGTTCCATTGTATCAAGTTAAGCAACGTGTGCATTTTAACCTTTGTGTGACTGTCTCAAAAATTTGTGACTCACACTTAATAAAGGTTTTTAAAGTGTATTATGGTTACCGTCAAACACTGTTTGGGTGTCTAGCAACAATACAATAGGGAAACATTTGGTCAACTCAATCTAAGTCACAGTTTCAGTAACATTATTGTTTGTTTAACATTTACATTACACTCTTATTAGCCTTTAAATCTTGAACATTGTGGGAAGACATAACTCTGTTCAATTTAGTTTTGCTTATGTATAATAAAAATTTTTTGACTTTCCCAAAGATTCTGGACCAGGAAATAAGTAGGCCTGGTACTGCTGTTAATATTTGCATGGTGGGTTAATGCCATTTAATCTAGTATGCAGGGGAAACCCCCTCTCAGTGGTATGAGATTTTTACAGGAAACTAAAATTTCTCTGCACAGGTTTCACCTGTTTTGTGCTTAATCATTTGTCATGAGGAATTAAATTAAAAAAAAAAAAGTACAGTTTCTATACTGTACGTGAATGGGATGTGTTGTCCACCTAAATACAAAGTCAAGTAGGCTACAAATGTAGCACATGTGAATAAACTACATGGTGTTTTTTATTGTTTGATAATTTATGTATAAAAAAGCTTTAACAAAAACACAATAGATTAATTAAACAAGTGTGATAGCTGAGCAGGAAGTATGTCTATATAGTTTCCCTGTACATTAGGTAGGTGCAAAGCATATTTGACATATTAAGTAAATATAACATTGGACAATTCACAAATACATACTGACGCTACTACTTTTTCTGGGGCTGCGTTACGTATCCAGGTCACCAGTGTCTGTTTTTGTAGTATTTTCTGTTTCTATCAAAACAAAATAGCCTATTTGCATTAGCTTTCTTTCAAGAGTGAGACACTGAAAGATGTGACGTGACGTGACATGTGGCCAAGTATGGTGACCCATACTCGGAATTAGTGCTCTGCATTTACCCATCCAAAGTGCACACACACAGCAGTGAACACACACACACACACACACCCGGAGCAGTGGTAAAGATGTAAATTGGTAAAAAGTGAAAACATGTAGTTAGAGACACTCGAAATGTAAATTCTTTAATTATTTAGTCCCCCGCATGTTATAAACCGTATCACTTTCTTTCTAAAAAAAAAATAAAATAAAAAACTCTAGAAAACTCTAGAATCGGATCAGTCCAAAACATCAACGAATCAGAGCAGTTTTGCGAACTGGATCAACTAAATCACTGAAAAGATCCGACTCAAAGGAATGATTCGATCGTGATTCCGTCATTACGTATTATCATCGCGCGCAGAGTTAGGACGAATGACAACATTTTCAATCGATATTCATTTTTCATATTCAATGAAAAATCATTGATTTTTCGTTAAATAAATCACCTTTTACATTTCATGGACACAAGGGTGAGTAAATAAAAACAGACGTTTGATTTTTATGAACTAGGCTATATAAGCTAATTTGAGATTGATTCAGTCCTAGTGAATAATATTTTGTGACGTGACATGTGACATGACTTAAATTAATGGCTGTTCACATCAAGAATGATAACTAAAACTATAAAGTTTTAATAATCGTTCTAATTATACGTGAATATGGAAGGCCGTTGATGTAGTAGGCCTAAACTAAACAGGCAAAACTTGAAGGCAGGGTTGGGTGATTTGGTTCAAAAACATATTTACATAGGCCCTGTCCACACGTACACGGTTATTTTTAAAACCGCAGCTTTTTCTACACGGTTTGGCCATTCGTCCACACGCAAACGCAGCAGCAGTTCACTGAAACCGAACATTTTTGAAAACGCCTGCCAGGGTGAAGATTTTCAAAAAGCGTTTTTGGCTTGTGACGTCGGCGCCTGCGCTGTTCTCTCCGCCTACTGGAGACTTTTTCAGGCTTCTGATTGGCCAACATGGCTTTACGGTTGAGATTATTTCGCCACCTGTTAGTTTGGCATGCTCTTGACAGTGCTTCATAGCATGCGTTTGCGTTTTCATGTGGACGGGGATTTTTTTAAAAACGGAAGAAAGAAAAACTCAGTTTATAAAAATACCGGTGTACGTGTGGACATGGCCATAGTACATGGCTGACACACAAAATATGTCTCTCAGCCATTGGGCCCTGCTATCAGCCGAACTAATGCATCTCATTTGAAACCTCAAAGGAGTTTTTGAATGTGAAGCAAAAAGATAAGATGGATCCAGACTACACAGAACAAGCACAAAGCCTCCTCTGATCCGAGATCAGCTGATAGACTGTGTTGCAGCTGTCTTTAGACGTGGTTATCTGCCATCGCTTCCCTGTTCTGAATGCTGCATCTGATGATCGAGGTGCTTTAAATAATGAAACGTCTGAGTACAACACACATGGCACATTCAAATTGGTTCATAATCAGTGTAGTGTTTTGAGATATTGCGTCGTTTAAGCATGTAAAACAGATTGCTAACGCTATCTCATGCTAAGGATAAAGGCCTTGTTTAGGGTGAAATTTGATGAGAAGTGCAAGTGCATGAGCTGCACAATCATTTTAAATCAGAAATTTGTCTTGCTTTCCTTTAAAAATATTGTACAAATCATTTTTAAAGCAAGATAAGAAGCTAATTATATAATAATAAATCTTGAAGTTTTCAAGTATTGATAATAGGCCTAGTAATGCACTGTAATACATTAAATTAGATCGAAAGTAAGTCCTTATTTGTGTTTAAATCACACATTCTTGGTATGTAGTCATTTATGCAACTTTTTTTTGGTCCAAAAATATGAATCTTTTGGGCACGTGGTCAACCCTCGGCCCAGCTCTGAATTTATTAGCACATC